AAAACATTAAATTAACTGTGGCAGCGCATGGCAAAGCTTTGGGACTCATTGCCATGCGTTGTGATACCTTGTGTTGCAATTAAATATACACCTGTATCATTTTATCACAACACAAACACCAAAACAATTTTTTACATAAGTCGATTATTTACAGTTTTGCATACCTTCATTTTTTTACCTTTTCGCAAAAAGGCGCAATTACAAATTTGCTAATATTTGTTATTTATTAACTCAATACAGTTTTATCTTTTAGATTTAGTCAGAAAATAATTTATTTTGTGCACGGATACTGATTTTGGTGTGTTTTAACAATTGAATTGTGTATTTTTATCGGTTTAATATTAATTTGAGAAACATTTGCGCAATTATCGCAGGGCCTACAAATTTAGTATCACCATCTTTTTATTCTACCGGGCCTGCGCTTTCAGAAAATATATGGTTTGGGGGGTCTTTTACAAACGCTAGCAACGCAGCAGTTGAAAATCAAATCAATAGGAAAAAATTGCAGAAAATTCAAAAATGGCTTGGCCAGCTGATTTGAAAAATGTTCCGGAGGGCTTGGCAGCGAAAGGGTTAAAAGGGCAAAATGACTTCAGTTTGGCAAAGCAATGCACACTGGGATTGCCTTGTCATCAGCAGAGCATTGCTGGGAAATCTCATCTGTAATCTCAGGAGATCTCAGGGAAAGGCATTTAACTCCCCTGAGAATTATGTGAATGGTCACATGTCCTAGTCACATGTGGCAGAAATCCAGGAAGTAATAAGAGAGCTAGTAATCTGCCCTTAGTAAACACGACCACTGTCGGAAAACTGGGAGAAAGAGAATTACGGTATGCAAAGAATACAAAGAGTGCAATTATCTCGAAGTATGTGTTTGTAGATTATTTTAAAGATATAGGTAAAGGTCCACTTTAAGGTAAACCCTGCAATAATAACTGGGCTCACTGAAAGTACACTATACTGTTCCTTCAAATGTGTAGTCATTTGTAGCTCTGAATGAAATATGTTGGGAGAGTAGGCACTGTGCTTGTTTATGGGTAATTTTGAAATGTTGATATTAGATTCTGCTCATAGATTCTGCCCATGAACTAAGGTGGTCAGCTGTACTGTTAAAATTATGCTATCACTTTAAAAATCAGTGCATCTGAACTTGCACAGGCCAGCACCAATTTCACTCGCTTTCTGCAAGCCCAAATGCTCGGTTCTGAGCAGGTAAGTGTCAAGCCTTCTGCCCTCCACATTCCTTTTGGCAATTTAACATGATGGGCTGGCTCACTGGCCAACAGGAATATGCGGCACATAGGAGGGGGCAGGCAACCTCAGTCAAAAACAAAGCAATTGCAGGAGGTTTGTTGGTTCCAAATAGCCATAAATTCAGTGCCTTAAAGGTGTACTTCATACTTATTTGTTTTTGTAGCACTTTAAGCACCACTGTTTTGATGTGTAACATTTTGTAATCAGGCTGACTTTTGAGAATGTTGGTGCTACCTCGTTTGAAGTGTTGACTAAAAGCTGAATAGTACACAGCCAAAGGGCATGTGACATACATCTGCCATGTGACCGCCATACTTTTTTAAAATGTATTATTATTTAGTATTAGAAGAGGTAGAAAGGTAGCAAAATACAATTTGTTAAAGTCACAGAAGCACAGAAATATATATCTGGTACAAAACTGTACACGCCTGTATCAGTACAAATCACATCAGAAACATGTAACGTGCACAATAGATAGGTTCTAGAACGAGAACTTTTTGTGGAAACCATGAACAAAGTAACATACAGAATTATGTCATGTTATAAAATCTTATGCCACCAGATTCAAAATTCAAAAGATTTACTGTTGCAGTGGTCACCATCAAAATGTCCAGTCACAGGGTACTAGTGCGCTCCAATCAGTTATCCGTCTCTAAGGGGTTACAGGTAGAGGGTCTCAGAGTCCACCTATCCCATATTTGTTATGTTTTTTTTCTCATCCCCAATATTTGAAAATGAAATGTTTATATGGAAGAGAGCCGCTGACTTCCTGCCTTCATTGGGTCAGTGTAGCTGCCCAACAAAACGTACATTTTCCCACCTGTTGCTGCATCGTTGGGACATGAATCCTATTTTCAACTTTATTGAATGTCACAAAAATAATTGTACTGTAATGTAAAACTCGTGCTCTGTTTTTATTCTCTACTTATGTTACATCTTTAGGAAGAAATTGATAGTATGTGGCAAAATATATGTGCTTAACTGTAGTTATGTATTGTTCTTCCATAAAGGTTGCACTGGTGCCCTTGCTCACGAACTGACTTGGATGTACCCAGAGATGAAAGTCAATGTTTTTGACCTTCCTGAAGTTATTAAAAACATTACCCAATTCCAACCTGAAAAATCAGACGCCAGTCGTATAATATTTACTTCAGGTAATTGTTTTTTGTAAATTTTAGTACCACAGATCATTTAGTAAATATGCCCCACTTATGTTTTTTTTGTCTTGATTAACAATGGTTGTGATAAGAACTTGCTTGAGATGTTTCACAGATGACTATAAGTGGAAATATTTATTTTTGGCATGTCATTAGAGGGAGCAAATTTAATAATTCATAGCTTTTGAATGACAAGCGGTATATATTATTTTTTTAGTTAGATGTTCTACTGCAAACTGCAGCAGACAATACCTCATAGGACCTGCTTTTTCCTTCTTAGTCCCTCAACTCCCTTTATCAGCAAACTCCCTTTATTCACCTTTTAAACACTTGATGGACAATCTCCCTATTAGGTGTTATGTTGGTGTGCTAGCTCAGCAGAAAACAGTAGTTGCCCAGATTTTCTGCTGTATCTCTTTTAAAGCCCAACTTCTGTTATTAATTTTAATTTTGTTTTCAGTAGTGTGGGCAGCAGTTAGATATTCAGTCAGGGCTCTGTAAACTTATAGGGAAAATGTCCCCTAACATTTAGTAAAATAGTAGAATGGGCATATGTCAGAACTGGGGGAGCAGGGGGGAATGTAGTTAATATATAATTATAAATTAATATAACACATAATTATCCTTACACCAGCTTGCGCTCACAGCAACCAAGCACGGGTGCCATACCTATACTTACTGTCAAGACCCAGACATTGCCGAGTACCCGAAATTTTGTGAAAAAATGGTAATACACTGTGCTGGAATATCTTGTGAAATTTGAGGTACTAAGCAATGCTGGGGATTTTGCTGAAAGGATGATGGTGACACCCCTTGCAGGTTAGAAGCCAGAATAAGTCAAGTATATTTACTAAATCCCACATCTTTCCACAGTGTTTTGTTAACAAAAAAAAGTGTGAACCTTGCTTGGTGGTGCAAGGTCTCCTACAACAAAGAAAAGTACATTGTGAAGTATTTTA